GTTGGCAGGGCACACGATGATGATGACCCATATCTGCTACAGGGAAGAGTTGAATGAAGAAGTAAGAGACGATTGTTTGTTCAAAGTTTTTAAAGAAAAGTGACCAACGGTTAAAGTTTCAGCCTCATTGCACCTTTTAACATACCACCTCGTTCAGTCTATCTCTGTCTCATCCCCTAAAGCACTGACCCTCAGAAATATTTTTAAAAAAATTGAAACAACCACAACAACGTTGCGCTTCTGGTCTCGAATTTTCTAGCAAAGATTTTATATCATTCTCATCATCATCACCATCATGGTCATCATCATTATCATCATCGCCGTTATCATCGTCATCGCCCTGCTGTGCCGTTTTGAGGTCAGCTAGGCCCTCTTCAACCCTGAAGACAGCCATGCGCTATCAGTGTGTCCCTCTGTGTAGTTTCCTCCTGTGTAATCATTTCGATATTATGGATACAATCCTCTCAAGCATATCTGAATTCTCTTGTCAACATTTAGGTTAAAGTTTCTTCTGGACCCCCTCGCTTCAATAATCTAGTTGTTTCCCATTTCAGTGCCTGCTCAGTGATTCTCTGTCCCTACTATCGTGTCAGTCTTATCAACCCAGACATTGACTTTAAACATACATTATCACTTGTTTGCCGTGCCTACTACACCTCCTCTCCCCTCACCCCCAACGTAAACGTTTGACAAGCCACGAGACCTTCTGTACTAGAGTGTCTGTCGGCAATTGGTCAAATCAACTCAGATACTGTTGAACTCTGTATTAACCCCTGTGTATAATATAGGTGTACAAAGCACTTATGATATTAGTTCCTAAAATGTCTCTGTTTTCTCATCGATACTCCTTAGTATCTGTAAACAACCAAATATGTAGCTCTTCCTGCTAACTGACATTTTAACTCCCGGCCAAATGAGACTACAACAGATACACAGATAAAATCCGATAACACACTGATAGCAATACATTTACGATCAAACTGTGTTGTTATCACCATGGACATAACTGCACATTAGTCATTCCTCCGATGTATCAGCCATTCTTAGGTATCTCTACTGTTTGTTCTCATCAGAAGTTGGTTATAGTGTCTCTTGTCTTGGCCTCGAAGATAGCAAAGATGTGCTCATCTCAGGTCACGCAATCGTGTTAGCGTTAGCGACTCATCATTGTACTCCAGTGTAGCCTGCACAGTAATGATATCAGCTCTGCCCATGATCATTCCTCTAGGCACTGGTGTATTACGTGCCAGCTGATCGGCTCGTTTGTTACCCTTTACTCCTGCATCTCAGCAATGCCCATACTGTGTGTGTGAGTGTAAAAAAAAAAAAAGAGGGGGGGGGGGGGTGAGACTGGATGGCTGCGGGACTAATTCAAAGTAGAAGAGATAATCAATGTCACTGAGCTGAATCATCGTCCCCCTGTAGGATGCAATATTTTGTTATTTTGAAACCCAAGCCTGGCATTTGCTGGGGTGCGCAATATAGCCTGACGACAGAACGAGGTTTCCGGGACCTCTCCACGAGTGATCCTCATCCGTATGGTGACACTTTATGTCACCAGGTGTTTATCGCTTGTGTCATGTCCTGGTAGGGTACAACTTACTTACTTTTTTACACGGTCACTTATAATGTTGTTGTCGTTAACAATCCCTTCCCCCCCCCCCCCCCCCAGTGTGTTACAGTCAATTCAATTCTTTCTCATCATATTAATATAGATAGTGGTTTTACAGAATAATTTCAATGGCTCATCAGATTATATAGATACGTGGTTTCAATAATGATTTCTATTTCTCATCAGATTATATAGATACATGATTTCAAGAATAATTTATATTTCTTATAAGATTATAAAAGTGTTGGTTTTAAAGAATAATTTCACATCTCATATGTTGATGCTCTTGTAGCCAATGTTAAGCTGTCAATTAGGCAGAGCCTCTAAACACTTAATTATGTTGCTGCCTTCTGTGAGCGCCAATCAGTTCCATTTAATCTATGTGTGTATGTTTGGCCTCCTCCTATAAACGGAGGGGGCCTTATAGTTCTTAAACAATTATTGGGGTGGTGTGGTGGGGGCGCTCAAGGGGCCTGAGCCCCTAGATTCTGGTGCCAATGCCTACCATGTATGCCGTAAGATGTTACTAAAGAAGGTTGGGGTGACTAGCCTGGAGTGTGGAGCAGTAGCTATAACAGTGCCACAAGTCGTCCAGCGACTATAGATGTCTTGTCGAGAGCACTGGCGTAGAGAGAGGGGGCTGAAGGGTGTGTATGTGTGTGTCTGTGTGTGTGTGTCTCTGTGTGTGTGTGTGTCTCTGTGTGTGGATGTGTTTGTGTGTGTGTGTGTGTGTCTCTGTGTGTGGGTGTGTGTGTGTTTGTGTGCGTGTGCGTCTATGTGTGTGGGTGTGTGTGTCTTTGTGTGTGGGTGTGTGTGTGTTTGTGTGTGTGTCTCTGTGTGTGGGTGTGTGTGTATGTGTGTGTGTCTGTGTGTGGGTGTGTGTGTATGTGTGTGTCTCTGTGTGTGGGTGTGTGTGTCTGTGTGTATGTTTTTGTGTGTGTGTGTGTGTCCGTGCGTGGGTGTCTCAGTGTGTGTGTCTGTTCGTGTGTGTCTCTATGTGTGCATGTGTGTGTTTCAGTGCCTGTGTGTCTGTGTGTGCGTGGGGAGGGGGGGGGGTATATAGACATAGCAAAAACAAGTGTTTAGAAAAAAAGACATAATGTGAAAAAAAAAAGATACACGGGAGAAGAAAAAGTAAGGGGGGGGGGGGGGGGTTCAAAATGGCCACACAAAAAAGGCATTTAAATAATAATAATAAAAAAAAAAAATTAGTGATGACAGGAAATTGTTCCTCACCGGGAACCATCTGACCTTGCTGTGGCACTAGTCGAGTTGGGTGTACGCTTATGCTTCTGTGGAATACAAACATTTCACTCTGGGAAAGAAAATATTCGCGTTGGTGTCCACAAAGGCATTTTGAGAACCCCTGTTTGAAATAAAATGCGAAACATTAAGTGATAACGGAACAAAAAGACAACTTATTAAAGAAGAATCGTGCATTTATAGTTCAACGTAGACGTGAAATTGAACCAGGATTAAGAACAAATTCACCAGGTTAAGGCCGTCTTAGAAAAATACAAACACGACAGAACGACAAATGTGAGTTTGTTCACAGGACAAGTTTCAATAGTCATCCAACTTCTACTTTCTGACGATACTTTGAACATTTTTTTTTAGAAACAATTCATTTTAGGGGGAATAGCAAGTATTCGAATAAACCAGTTGTGTTCAACAGGTCTGGAAACTGAGTCAACAAGTGCCCAACATTATGTTTGATTGTAGCAAGGCCAACGTTTGTGCCCGCATCAGGGCTGCAGAATTTTTTTTTCGGAAATAGTACAATTTCTAGGGGAGGTTATCAAAACACACCAGAAGGAACAAATATTAAAAAAAAAAAAATAAATAAAATAAAAAAATTAAAATACGTTAAAAGAATTTAAAAAAACACACACACAAACACACACACACGCACACACAAACAGCCCCAACCACACAATCACAGATACACACACATATATATATCTATATATAAATCACTGGCTTACCTAAGATTTGATCAGAATTGGAATTCTTTGGCCATTACATCATAGCTAGGGAAACCTTTTTTTTGGGTCAAGTTCGTTACAAAAACTGTTGTGGAGGCTTCCAGTTAGTTAAATAACTTTCATCTCATCAAACTGTAAACTGTTGAACTCTTCAAAGAAAAGCAATTTAAAACTTAAAAAAAAAAAAAAATAAGTCTGAATATTGTTAACGAAAGAGAAAACGATTCTCATAAAACCACGGACAAAGAAGAGAAGTAACAATGACATTTTAAAGAATTTGAACATCACCAAAGATTGGCTAATAAACAGCATCTTATCTTGGAAGCTATTTTGGTCATATCAAGAACAACGGGGGATTGGAAAAAAATAGCAGAATGCTTGGTACTAGGAAGGAGGGGCAGGGGCCGACCAACACTGACGAGAGAGCGAGCTTCTTATGGGGAGAAAATGATGAGAGCGACGTTCTGCAAATGAACTGCTACATGATGAAAGAGAGAACTCTGTGTATCTGCAGAGGAATGAGATAATGCTAAAACACTAGGCACACATTCGGCTACAAAATGCGACAAAGGACATACTGATAAAAGAGAACCATCTGCCACTTGAATGGTCGGGCGATCTTACACCAGCCTTTGAAAATAAATCAAAACATGCACTTGACCAGTCACGTCAAACAGTACATTACCACCAACAATTACATCTCGTTTACTTCCATTTAAAAAAAGTTAAACACAATGCGAAAATTTAAAATATTTTTAGCAAATTTCTAAAACATAACAAGACAGCGGGTGTGATCCCAAAAGTACAGTTTTGTTCGGCAAGGTTCAAACAATACAAAATGTGTAGGAAAGTACCAACTTCAGCAGCCCTGCCCGCATTAGGCCCTTACGGCTCAGAGAAGAGGGAACAAAAAAGTGGGCTCTAGTGTTGTATGCGATGAAAGATAGTCCTGCTTCATTCACCACACGAGACCTGGAGTCTGTGCTGTTGTCGCGCCCTTCCCCCCATCTCTACCCCACCTCACCTTCCCCTGACAACGATCCACACGTTAAGTTACTACAGTCATAAATAAGGGACCAGACTTTTGTTAGTTATGAAAAAAAGATATTGAACGACCGAGTTAAGTAGTGCTTAGAAGTGTTAATTGTCTAACAAACTTTGTATAGTTTTGTATCTACAACGGCTATCAAAATAAAACGTTATAGCTTCTGTTTGCCGCCTTGTTACTTATAATGGAATGTGAACTTTTATCACACAGCAGACAACTGGTTGGAAGTTATTTGGAGTCCTCATTTCTGTCTGGGCAGCTGTGAGGATTATTTCAACACGGGAGGCCCACATTGTGTTTTCTCATTCCAGCATCGTGTTTGACATTTCCAGCAGTCCTTACCAAATTATCTGCAATGGCAGAGGGCCAAAAGCGTGAAGTGGATTACGGTTTCAAGTTTAGAGAGGATGAAGAACTGGAGTTTTTCACAGAACTTGCCGTACATGAGTGTGAGAGATGGATTCAGGTACTTAGTGTGTTGTTATGCACATTTTATACGTTGTATTAGTACCAATATTGTATGTGGGAGGGAGTTGACTGAGGACATGGGCTGCAATTGGGGGGGGGGGGGAGAGGGGGGGTGGGAAAGAACACGAACAAGAACAAAAAAGAGCAAGACAAAAAGAGAAGGAGAAGAACAGCAATATTTTGAAACATATATACAAGTTACATTATTGTTCTAAATGGATAATTAATTACACTTCTTTCTTCTTTCTTCTTTTGTCAAAATCTGCTTGTGTTGCTAGGCGTGCAGTCTATCAGATGATCGGCAACCGAGCCAGGGCGCGCTCAGTCGCTTCATATGCCGTGATGTTATGAAGTCTCAAGTTGTCCGTGACTCCTTCAATCCATCTTCTTTTTGGTCTTCCCCTGCCTCTTGGTGTTTCGATTTTCATGTTGTATGCTCTTGATGCTGACATCGTTGGTTCCATTCTCATTAGGTGACCAAACCATTTCATTCTTTGCTTCTCAATAAATTTAACGATGGGTATGATTCCAATAGTTCTTGTAATCACATCATTTCTCACTTGATCTTTTCTGGTTTTATTCGCAGCAATTAATTACACGATGTATAAAATAAAAATAAAAATGGACACTCTAGGAACTCATGAACACTATATTGCAATTATACCCCTGAGTGTTAAACAGAATATGTAAAAATTACTGCTGTAAGAGGAGGAGGGAAAGAAGAAGAAGAAGAGGAGGAAGAAGAAGAAGAAGCGTGATATTAGTGATGATTATTTCCTTCTTCTTTTATCCCCTTACAGCTAATCAAGAACCTGACTGCCATTACAGTCTAAATTAACATCATTATGTTATGAATTATTATATCTTATTAATCATGTCACAATTGTTACTGGGATGCAGTACAAGTAAATAATACTGTTTACAATACAGAAGCAACTTTCTATTTAAAAGACAATGTAAGTAAAGTTTTCGGCATACCTTGAATGGTTGATCAGACTTGAAATGTACATGTACATTGTGTGTGTACACCTCACCTATTTGCCCAAGTAAGATTGTTAATGATAAAATCTCACCTGGATAGTATAAAGTTGTTAAAAGTTGTCTAAAAGTTATATAGATTGAACAGGGTAATGTTAATACATCTGTCAGAGCTATGCTGCATGGGCACAAACACTGACACTGTCATGTGGGAAAGATTCATAACGTCCTGGCATAAACATTCAATACTGACTTCCTTATATAAAATAATTTCTGGTTGACACAAATTATCTTGTTTATATTTACTGTCTTCTTCACACATTCTGGATTGTTGACACATCCTATCTTGTTCACACATTCTGGATTGTTGTCTAATTCTGCATCTTTGACATATAATGTCTTGTTTATTTATTCTAAATTGTTGACATATTCGGGATGTTTGACATATTCTAGATTGTTGACCTGTCTGGATTGTTAACATATTCTGGATTGTTGATATATTCTGAATTGTTAACATAATCTGGATTGTTTACATATTCTGGATTGTTGAAATATTTTGGATTGTTGACATATTCTGGATGTTTGACATGTCTGGATTGTTGACATATTCTTGATTATTGTCATATCTTGGATTGTTGTCATATCCTAGATTGTTGACATATCTGGACTGTTGACATATTCTGTATTGTTGAAATAGACAGTGTTGTTGACATATCCTGTCTTGTTGACATATCCTGTCTTGTTGACATATCCTGTCTTATTGACATATCCTGTCTTATTGACATATCCTGTGTTGTTTACATAAGTACGGCTACATATGCACCCTTTTGTTGAACCACGCACACACACACACACACACACACACACACACACACACATTGCCTTACTGGTACAACACACACAAAATCCTGATTGATTACCAGTTTATTTCACCAAAGGGATCAAACTCTGAACATTCGTGACAGTTTTAGGTATTCCGTCACTCTGCCACACTGACAAAATGACAGCCGTTCATAATTCATGAAACAGGGTGCCTGGCACACAGCAGCCTACACAAGTGATGTCCAAATTGGCATATTCTGTTACTTATTTGAAACACCTCTTCCCTACCCCCACCCCTCACACACATCTTAAGCATAAGTGCAGGGGAAGTGGGATGATTTATATGTGTAAGCTGGTAACAAGACTAGCTTTATTTTCTTTCTTTCTTGTTTTGTTTATTGTTTGCATCCATTGCTTTGTTTACTTTATGTCATTCATAAATCTGATGCTACAGTTTTAGAAATTAATTATTGCAATAATTTCTTCACAATGTATTGGTTGTTTTGATTTATTTGATAGCTTTTTAAAATTCATTTATAATTGTATGTCATTAGTCATTGTTTAAATGGTAATTTTTTCTGATCAGTTCATTTTCACAACCTAATTTGTAATTCTTTCACTAGCAGTGTTTTCTTTATTCATTTGTGTTTTAGATCATTCTAACACTGTTTTTCCCAGCATGCCAATGGCTTTCTGGTCACATGGTGCCCTTACATATATAATCGTCATTGTTATTTTTATTGCTGTGTTTATCAATGTTATTTTTGTTAATATTAGCAGCATCATTAAGTTTTCATTATGAAAAGCACCATCATCTTCTTCCTCATTTGTTAATCCATTCAATATTATCTGTCTCAGCTGATCTAATTTTTTCCCTATTTGTCCGCCCATCTTATTTCTTTTTTGTCTTTACCAACTCCCTTAACGTTTGTGGTCTTTGTCATCTTCCTTCATTTTCTCCTTGCACAGTTTATTCACATTCTATCAGCTTATCCATCATTTCCTTACTTTGTCAAACCATCCAACACGTTCTCCTTTAAATCCATTCAATTCCTTTTACTACTAACTCATCCAACATTTTGCTTTATTTGCATCACCAGAAGAGGAAGAGGAGAAGAAGCAGAAGAAAATATCTGGTGTTCTTAATTATCCAGTCAGTTCTTAGTAGTTTACTACAAACAGATCCATAGTTTTTGTTGCCTCCATTTTTCTTTCCAGTTTTGTTATTGAGTCTCTAACTCACAGGCATGCAGAGTAGCATTCGTGCACATGCATGCACATACAGAACAGATATACTCGCACATATGACAGATGCACACACACACACACACACACACACACACACACACAGAACAGACATACACACACACACAGAACAGACATACACAGAACAGACATACACACACACACACACACAAAGAACATACACACACAGAACAGACACACACAGAACAAACACACACACAAACAACAGATAGATGCATAAATGCACAGACAGACACACACAGACAGAGCATGCACACATGACCATCACACAGAGACTAGACAGACAGGCACACACACACAGAGAACAGAACTGACACACACACACACAGAACAGACAACCACACACACACTCACAGAATAGATTTACATACAGAGAATGGAGACACACAGACCAGATAGACACATAACAGATAGACAGACACACACACAGAGAATAGATGTACATACAGAGAATGGAGACACACATACACACACAGAACACACATACACACACAGAACACACATACACACATAGAACACACATACACACACAGAACACACATACACACACAGAACACACATACACACACAGAACACACATACACACACAGAACACACATACACACACAAAACACACATACACACACAGAACACACATACACACACAGAACACACATACACACACAGAAAGACAGACATGCACATGTTCCACCAACTGTTATAATAAAACATAACTGTATACCTCCCAGGGTCAAAGGTCAGGTAATGTGAGTGAAAGCAAGCACTATTATCTGCTCACCCTGAGACACCTGGTAACTAACCCACTTGTGCTCACATGAATTAGGTCAGCCATTTACTGTCAGTAAAAATAGGTTATCTTCATCACCAGTCCCAGTGTGGCCAGGCTGAGCTCCAGATATCACCCAACAATTCAGTCACATGTTTTCCAGTATTATAATTTGAATTTATCTGTCCTGCATACAATGTCTAGGATAAGTAAAATGTAACCAGTAAGGGCTTGTGACTTGCACGGTCTGTAGGCCACCACATGTTAACTATACACAAACTATACAGTAAACAAATAGACATATAATGATGGGTAATCATAGAAGGAAGTAGAGAGATAGAGGTTTAACAATATGCAAACAGGCACAAGGTAACAGGAAACCACAATTTTATTTGTTCTTGTTAAATCATGTTTTGTTTTGTACAAATTTGATTCAGTAAGTAATTTAAAACTGCACATTTATCCCTGTTGAATCTTGCTTTTAGAATAAAAATAGTCCAGTTTCAGTTTTGTAGGATAATGTAAAATAAACACCACCTATTTGTCCAGTTCAGTCAAATGCTTGTTTTTGTGAACCATTGGACATAAAGATTCACAGAACAGAATGTACACACAGACACGATGTGCCTATGGTCGGGGCATAATACCTATAACTGTCGACTTATTAAAAGAAGAAGAAGAAGAAATAATGTAAAAAAAAAAAATGGGTTGGAAAATCACTCATCTGCCCCTATTAAATCATTTTTGGTTTTACAAAGTGGATTCACGAAATAATGTAAAACCAGCAATTTGTACCTATTCAATCATGCTTTAAAAAACAAACAGATTCAGTCGATAATGCACATCCACCTTGTTTTACACTCTCCGAACAAGTCGTACTTACTGACAGTAACAGGAGTGTGAAAGGTATGGGCGGAGTGGGGGTGGAGTGAAGTCTAGTGGAGTCAGTTGTCTAGGAAGCATCAAGTTTACCTATCCTACATGTGCTAGCAGATCCGTGCTACCTGTCCATTGCCACATGTGCTAGCAGTGATCTGTGCCATATGTGCTAGCAAATCAGTGCCACATGTGCTAGCAGATCATGTGCCACATGTGCTACATGTCCATGCTATCAGTGCTAGCAGATCAGTGCTACATGTACTGTCCATGCTACATGTGCTAGCAGATCAGTGCCACATGTGCTAGCAGATCAAGTGCCATGCTACATGTGCTAGCAAATCATGCTACAGTGCCACATGTGTGCTAGCAGATCAGTGCTACATGTACTGTCCATGCTACATGTGCTAGCAGATCAGTGCTACATGTACTGTCCATGCTACATGTGCTAGCAGATCAGTGCTACATGTGCTGTCCATGCTACATGTGCTAGCAGATCAGTGCTACATGTGCTAGCAGATCAGTGCTACATGTGCCATGCTACATGTGCTAGATCATGTGCTAGCAGATTAGTGCTACATGTGCTAGCAGATCAGTGCTACATGTGCTAGCAGATCAGTGCTACATGTACTGTAGATGATCATGTGCTAGCAGATCAGTGCTACATGTGCTAGCAGATTAGTGCTACATGTGCTAGCAGATCAGTGCTACATGTGCTAGCAGATCAGTGCTACATGTACTGTCCATGCTACATGTGCTAGCAGATCAGTGCTACATGTGCTAGCAACTGTGCCACATGTACTATCCATGCTACATGTGCTAGTAGATTAGTGCTACATGTGCTAGCAAATTAGTGCTACATGTGCTAGCAGATCAGTGCTACATGTGCTACATGTGCTAGCAGATCAGTGCTATATGTGCTAGCAGATCAGTCCTACATGTGCTAGCAACAATGCCACTTGTACTATCCATGCTACATGTGCTAGCAGCAATGCCACTTGTACTATCCATGCTACATGTGCTAGCAGATCAGTGCTACATATGCCAGCAGCAGTGCCACATGTACTATCCATGCTACACGTGCTAGCAGATCAGTGCTACATATGCTAGCAGAGCAGTGCTACATGTGCTACCCATGCTACATTATGCTCCTGCAACAGTTGCTACCGGACTGTTATTGCACTACTGTGTGCGGAACAGATTTATGGAAAGAGAGAGAGAGAGAGACGGGAAATACTGAGATGGCTGGGGCATGTAGAGAGATTGTCAGATAACAGAGAAACGAAAGCTGTGTACACAGAATAGTTTAATGATAATTAGACTGTAAGACAAACCAAGAAGACAGTGGAGAGATAATATAAATGCAGACATATAAACACTCAGAGTCACCAAATGGAAAAGGAAGGCTGTTCACTGAGATCAAAGGAGGTGGGTGATATCTGCAACAATTTTCACCCAAGGCTGCAAAGAAGAATAAGAAGAAGAGATAAAGAAAAATAATGAAGTAAGATTCAGGTCCTTTTATCAGACACTAAAAGGTGCCAGGACACTCATTGATTGATGCTGTCTGTTGGAGACTGCAAGAGGAGGAAAGCAACTGTTGTCCTTGTAAGTCTGAAAGGCACTTGATGATACTCCCCTGGGCATTGAAATACAGTATTTGAAGGCTGAAGAGCAAGGACTTCACACATACTTGGTCACTGCATAGTGAAGTGTGATGTCTAGTTCTCTTTACTACTACCTGTCTAGAGTTCCATCCCAACTACCAGACATGACTTGGTTGACTTTGTGTTGCAGGCGGTCACCAAGAAGAGTCTGCCTTACCTGGATGATACCAGAAAGTCCCTGGAGAATGGAGTCCTCCTCTGCGAGTGAGTTGCATGCTGATTGTTTCTATAGAGTTTTGTGCACATTCTTGTCCATAGAGTACATACACAGCTGTTTATTTATTCATCATCATCATTGTCCAGTTATGCCATTAAATGTCACATAGGGCTCCCAGTCTATTCATCCACTCTGTTCTCTCCTGTACAATCCCTTTGCTTCTCTCATCAACGTTCATTGTATGGTTTCTTGTAGATGACCTCACTTCCTTAATCCCTTTGTTGTGGGGATGTTAAAAAAAAAGAGTCTCTAACGGCTGTAGAAAAGGTCCTTTACTTTGTTTACTTACTTTGTTATTGCCGTAATGTTATTGCCGTAATATTTCTGTTACTTTGTTTACTTACTTTGTTATTGCCGTAATATTTCTGTTACTTTGTTTATTTTGATAATATGATTCTTTACAAATTTGTTATGTTTTAATCATAATATTTCTGTTACTTTAGTTTACTTACTTTGTTATTGCATACACATAATATTTATGTTACTTTCAGTTGTACTTACTTTGTATCATTGCTGTAATATTTACATACTGTTACTTGTTACTTACTTTGTTAGGAAGTGCCATGATATTTCACACAATCTCAAAATATCAGAGTTACATACACAGTCTTAGAATTGTTTACCATACACAGTCCGTAAAATATCAGGAATTTACATACACAGTCTTAGAATTTCAAATGTTTCAACACAGTCTTTATCAGGAATGTTACATACACAGTCTTAGAATTTCAGGAATGTTACATTTTAGAATTTCAGGATTTTTGAATTTCAGGATGTTACATACACAGTGATTCAGGAATGTTATATACACAGTCTTGTATCAGGAATGTTACATACACAGTCTTAGAATTTCAGAAATGCATACAACAGTCTTAGATTTCAGGATGTTACATGTCTTAAAATATCAGGAATGTTACATACACAGTCTTAGAATATCAGGAATGTTACGTACACAGTCTTAGAATTTCAGGAATGTTATGTACACAGTCTTAGAATTTCAGGAATGTTTCATACACAGCCTTAGAATTTCAGGAATGTTACATAGACAGTCTTAGAATATCAGGAATGTTACATACAGAGTCTTAGAATATCAGGAATGTTACATACACAGTCTTAGAATTTCAGGAATGTTACATAAACAGTCTTATAATTTCAGGAATGTTACATACACAGTCTTAAAATTTCAGGAATGTTACATACACAGTCTTAGAATTTCAGGAATGTTACATACACAGTCTTAGAATTTCAGGAATGTTACATACACAGTCTTAGAATATCAGGAATGTTACATAGAAATGTTACATACACAGTTTAGAATATCAGGAATGTTACATACACAGTCATACACAGTCTTAGAATAGAATTTCAGGAAGGTTTACATACACAGTCTTAGAATTTCAGAATATGTTTACATACACAGTCTTAGAATATCAGGAATTCATACACAGTCTTAGATGGATGTATACACAGTCTTAGAATTTCAGTCTTAGAATATCAGGAATGTTACATACACAGTCTTAGAATATCGGGAATGTTACATACACAGTCTTAGAAAATCAGGAATGTTACATACACAGTCTTAGAATATCAGGAATGTTACATACACAGTCTTAGAATTTCAGGAATGTTACATACACAGCCTTAGAATTTCAGGAATGTTACATACACAGTCTTAGAATTTCAGGAATGTTACATACACAGTCTTAGAATATCAGGAAGGTTACATTCACAGTATTAGAATATCAGGAATGTTACATACACAGTCTTAGAATATCAGGAATGTTACATACACAGTCTTAGAATATCAGGAATGTTACATACACAGTCTTAGAATATCAGGAATGTTACATACACAGTCTTAGAATATCAGGAATGTTACATACACAGCCTTCAAATATCAGGAGTCAGGAAAAAGAAACATACTGACATTCTTCAAGATCTGAGCTGAGATCCAAGTCCTTATATATTTTTTTGGGGGGGGGGGGGGGGGGGGGGGGGGAGGAATAAAGGAATACAATCACTGCAACTTAACATAATGACATGCCAGCGGCCCTTAAGTGTGAATGCAGAAGAAAATGAAGAGTAAGAAGAAAAACAGAAGAAAAAACGAACAAAAGAAGAAATAGACAGAGATGAAAAAGAAGGAGGGAAACAAAAGAAGAAGAAGAAAAAGGAGGAGGAGGAGAAGAAGAAGAAGAAGAAGAAGAAGAAGAAGAAGAAGAAGAAGAAGAAGAAGAAGAAGAAAAAGAAGAAGAAAAAAAAAAAAGAAAAAAAAAAAAAGAAGAAATGTCAGAGGCATTATTCCTGGAAGAAGAGGCAGAAACTGACTAGCCCACACGTGAACACATGACATCATTGACAAACTGGACATGATAATGTCTGAGGCAGGTAAACTAACACAAGATCAAGTGTCTTTACCAGCAAGTCTTGATGAGAGCTGTGTTCTGTGAAGGACTGGTACATAATTGTGAATGTTACGTTATGCAATCCATATCATCTACATTGGGAATTCCCATGCACAGGTCCTTTCCTTTGAGGCTGTTGTCAGTCCAAGACATCAGTACTGATTTTTCCATGGGAGGTTCATTACAGTGTCTCTTTTCTTGACCTCAATGGTGGCATTGACCGGTTTCACCAAACTTCATTCAAAGATCAGGCAGTAAAACATTTGGAATATGCGGAGCTGAGTTGAGTTAGGAACCAACAGCACAGTACTTGGAACATTCCCATAAGTGCTCCGATCCCATGGCCAGCAGCCAGTTAAGAGTTCCTATTCCATTGATATGAGTGACAGTGACATGTCGCTTCAAACAGTCATGTATCTGACATTAAAAGTTTGTTTGTTTGTTTGTTTATCCATAGACTGCTCAACTGTCTCCAGCCAGGGTCAATCTCCCGAATCAACAGACTGCCAACTCCAATAGCTGGCCTTGTGAGTAATCTCCCTTTCAAGTCGAATCTGCTGCAGAAAATATAATCTAAAAAATCATACAGTTCCCTGCTTAGAATTATGTTACAGTCAAAGATGGAGACAAACGGGCATGGGGAAGAGGATGGTTTGAACAGAAGAGCTGGTCTGAGAGAAAGGTTGTTTGACCAAATAACTTCAAGACAGAAGATTGTGACATCACAACAGCCACACTTCTTTGACAAGGTGGCTTAATATCTGATTTATTTAACCCTCCCCCCCCCCCCCCCCTTTTTCCCCCAAAGTTCGTCAAAGCATTTTTCACTTTCACCAAAGTAAGACTATATATGTTACATCAGTGGCTAGATACAAACCTCCCAGTCACAGTGTTCAGGTTTCAGATCCACATTTTTGTATTTGACATAGGGCTTCCATGTTGACCCAGGCTAAAATGGATACTACGAAATGTTCTTGGAAGTAAAGGTGACCAGCGTGTTGTTCACAGGAGTGTATGGTCTTTTAACTCTTTCGTAACAACCAAAGCAACATATGTGTTTTAGTCGTTCCAAAGATAATATCATGTTTTTGCTACCATTTTTCATCGGCAGATGGTATATTAACCCACTGTGGCTAAATTATTGGTTCACCTACCTCTGTCCCACGATGACTTTGTTGAAACTTGTTCACACCTAAATATGCACTACTTTTAAGCCCGTCTCCTTAGACAAAAAAGGGTTAAAGTAAACTATGCTTAGGGCTAAAAGAGTTAATGTAGTGTAATCTTCTTCTTTTTCTGCACATTCATTGACTGTAAACTTTGGCAGAAAGTTCTGGTTGTTTGTCCACCTCTGGACTTTAGTCTTGTTCCAGAACCTGAGTGTTGCATGCACATCTGTTTAACAGATTTGACTTAATTATATGCAGATTGTTGGTTTCTTGCCTCTCAGGCATATGCACTCTGACTTCAAACAAAGCCCCCAATCAGTCCACTCTTAGGACATGCTTGATGGGGAGGCAGTGGGTCTATTCTTCCCCACAGTGGGACCCTATAGCCCAGACGGGGATATAGTGAAATATTTCACTGGTATCTTAATTACTGCTCCTGTTTTCATTACCTGTCTTATACATGTAGATAAATGGCATCCGCTATTTATAAGTGTATCCTTATATAGATCCTGGGGAAAACCAACAAAATCATGGATAGAGAACTAAAAAGGTAGACTAAACAAATGTGCCGACAATGCAGTTGATGCAGTAGCCAAGAATTGATTAAGAAATGAGACATCATATACCTAGGTGCTAGATAATTTTCAGTAATGTCTTCTCTCCCAGGTATTAAACTTGGGTATAATGGCTGTGTTGAAGGTAGAGTACACTACCTACTATGTCATACACCAGGGCTATTCAACTGGTGGCCCATGGGCTGAATCTGGTCTAAAGAGACCTAGCAACCTGCCCACAGATCATTGAAAAAAACAGTGCAATAAAGTTATTTTAAAAGATTGTCTGTGCTAGAGCTCAGGTCTCTGATTCCTGATGACCCGGTTTCGCTGCATTTTGGCCCCTGAGTAATTTAGTTGAATAGCTCTGCCATACACTATAGACATTTCTCACGTCTACAGATTGTTTAATTAATTTCTTCGTGACCCTGACTGACCAGCGTCTTTAGTTTGATTCCTATATTATGTATCTCTGTCTTTCTCATCTTTCTGTGAATTTAGGGCCCACTTAAGTTCCCCCCAAAGGGTTCCAGTCTGAGGTTATTCTACAAATATTATTATCAGGTTGTGTCATACCATTTTATTTGTTAAATTCAGTGCAGACATTACTTAATGGATGATTGAAGTTAATTTTTAACTATTTTAGTAATTCTTTTAATTGAAAAACTATATCTTGAATTATTTAGATCATGGATTTGATGATTTCAGAGTTAAACATTTTAAGTATGGCACAAGTGTAATTTCTTTTTAAGTTCACCTACTTAATAGCATTATATAAGGTTGTTTGCCTAATCTATAGCAGTATCTTGTCTATACTAAAAATTATTTCCCGTCCTTTTTTTGTGATTTGAAGCCCTACTCTGGTTCTTGCCAGAGGCCACAATATAGCCTGGCCATAAATATGGCCTTAACGCTGAATGTGGTTTCTGGGACCTCTCCTCAGTGATCCTCATCCACATGGTGGCACATTGTGTCATCGGGTGTTTATCGCTTGTGTGATGTCCTGGTGGGGCAGAAAGTCAGTCAGTATCTTGTCAAGTTAAATACTTCTCATGAATTTTTGTTTTATCTTACTGCTTCTGCTGTTTTGTTATATTTTGACCTCTGTTTTTTGTGTGTGATATTCTAACTGTTCTGCATGTTATTTCTTTCTTATCCTGTCTTATTATCCTCTCACTTCTGCTTATTTTATTGTTGTTGCACACATTATGAATGCTGGTGCCTGGATTTCTCTAACAGGACAATATCAATGTGTTTCTACGAGCATGTAAGACCAAATTTGGCCTCAGTGATGTTCACCTTTTCAATCCTTCAGACCTAGAAGATCTGTCCCAGAGGGCCATAGCAGAGTGAGTACCGGCTGTCTCATGTGGATTTGTTTGTAATATACACGTAGGTATGCACCTGAAAGGGGAGATCACCAACAACACACTCGTTATAGGTTATTGTTACATGTTTTACAATATGTTTATAGATATGTGTTGTTTTGTAACATGCAGGTAGTAGCAGTAGCGGAATTTAAACTTCCTGACAAACAGGTCACCTTATAATTCCTCCATTCCTGTGCCAGAGAAAATTACATAAAATGTCTCTTTTGAAAGCTAGAGAACAAACACTTAATCCCGGCAAATCCACAAACATGCATATGCAGTAAATCTGTTAGAGATGCCAACACCAACAGCCATCACCAGAATTTGAGTTTATTATTGTAGTCAGTTACCTTAATGTGGCAGTAGGTAACATGCAAGAGCTGGCTTAATGGGAGGTTATTTGCTCCAACAGCAAGTATTAATTAAGAGAGAATTAGAAACACCAGAAATCATCATGTGCATTAAAAAATCCCCTAAAACTAGCGGCTGTTTAAGCCCATTAAAGAAACAAATATTGATAACTCACAATGGAATATTTATATTAGACTTGGAGAGGCGAAAGTTGTGGTAGTTGGGTGGATAACCTGCTTGCCTGTTAGTCTGATAGTCTTGTGTATGAATCCTGATCAAGACAGATTTTTAAAATTGACCAAGGCTCCCAAGTTGTCTAGTCCATAAATGAGCACCAGAAAGTGTTTTAGGAAGTATAGGTGGCCAGTGTTATGTTGACCACATCACTGACTGAGTGATTGTTGGTCTGTAACCATATAGGGCAAGCACAGAATGGCCAATACACCAACAACGGTGCACAACCATGTGAAGCTATTTGTTAAAGGGGAAGATAATTTTGTATTTCTTATGCACTTAATTTTTGGAGTCACCTCTCTTTTTATGATAAGTGTATAATATTCCCCATTTAATTTTTAGTCCTTTAACTCTTTGAGTCCCAGGGGGTTTTGCACCAGATGCACAAAAAGGGAGGGGGGGGGGGGAGTAATATGATTTTGACTTTTAACAAATGCAGCACTTTAAAACAAACCTCACAACTGCAGCTGATGTCCAACATACACATATACATAAAATTAAACATAAAGGGATAAGGAATAAAATTAGCATTAAAAAAAAAAAAGTAAAGATCCCTTTACACGCCCTTAGGCGCATCGGGCATATGGGAAGAGCACCCATATTTTTACAGACCAATCGGCACTCGGTGGGTAATGCGGTCAGCATTACGCCGGCCGTCTTTACTTTCCCAGGACAGCCCATCCTGGTACCCATTTGAGGCTGGGTCGACCTGCGACGTCCCATACCACGATAAAAATCCACGCAGCCCACTCAGGTTTCAATCGCGGTACGTTGGATTACGAGTCAGACTGGCAACGCCTTAGCCACGGACGCCGCAATATTAGCATACTGCTACAACAAACAATTATACTGTTAGTATTTAGTAGAGAAAACAGTGACTTAGTTTGAGAGGTGAGTAAATTATGAACAAGTTTTTTCCACTTACCCAGAAGCTGATCCCAAAATTCTCACAAAGGAAGGTACACCACTTATAAGTATGCACAGCCAATATTAAAGCAAAATGTGCAATAGTTGTTTTTCCATAGCAATTTTAATAACACTACCATAACACGTCAAAATTAATTCTCCAGTGGCACAAACAGTGACTTTTCTAAAAACAATTCAATTCCTCACATAGAAAAAAACTGTAAAGGCACTGTAAACATGTTAGCCTGTTCATAGATATATATCTATGGTTTTAGATGATATGGATAGTAGTACTAGAAGCGCTGACATTTGGACTAGCTGGTGTCGCGTTACGAGGTGCTTCTCTTGTGTTGCCATGGCAGAATTAGTCAGTTTTGTCCTCTTAGCAGGAGGTAAATTACGCACACATCCTCATCAAAACTTGACTCATCAACGGTTTGGGGAAATTTCAAGTCGCTACTATCATTATCAAACTCCACATTACTCTAATCGATCCACTGTTTTATCAAATTTGATGATTCTAAAGCAGTAAATAGCTTTGGGGGGCGTGAAGACAATGACTGATCAGACATATTGTTTTCAGACAATTGTTTGGTAACATAGTAGACCACACAAATATCGATTTAAAGCATTAAAAACTCACCAGACCCAAACGAATGCACTCCACGTGTGTTCACTACACACTCGAGAACCGGAAAGGAAGTTTAAATTGAGCGGTTCGCGCGTAATTACCGATAAGTGGTAAATTAAAAACCGTCACACGTCATGCGCCGTTTGGGCCGCCAAGTAGTAACAAATTAGCGCATGATGCGTTCCTTGGGACTCAAAGAGTTTACATTTAGTTTTTGTTATTTTAAAATTAACATTGGCACCCAAGTTAATCTAACCTAAAAATGGATGCCAGATTGTTTGCTGGGAAGTAAAAGTAGCTGGAATGGTGGTGACCATATTGAGAGCCACCAGGTCAAAAAAAATATGAGTCTACCATCATAAGCTTGATGTACCATAGTGTTTTAAAGAGTGTGAAACAAATTTACTATTTTACAATGCTAAGACATCTGTGCACAACTGTTACTTAAATATAATATGTAACTACTGACTGAAGACCACTTTTTTATTGTAGAAAAGCCAACTGTACTGTGTAATAATATTAATATGTGAGGATAGTCATTTTAAAAAAAAAAGTTATAAGCTGATTTTGGGATGCTGAAACCAGTAGATAAAAACACAGCAGTATTCATGTGTAGGTTACTCTGTAACCATTTTTTTTTGCCTGAATATAATGTGTCAAATTGATTGAACAGGGATTCTGAGGCTTGCTCCTATGTGATTCCATCTGATTTTGGCTCCTCGAGTCACTGGGTAGCTATCTTTCTAGTTGCTGTCTTGGAAAAAAGATATTTTTTTGAAAGTGGTAGATTGAAGCATTCTAAGATTTCATTTAGTGGCAGCATCACTGGAGACATGGTGATACTTAAGGAGGTAGTTGAGGAAAACTCTTAAGCCTAATGACTAGATGAGTACTGCTCAGTTATGACATTGCTAGAATGTATACATCTCAGTTATGACAGTGCTAGAATGTTAACATCTCAGTTATGACAGTGCTAGAATGTTAACGTAGAATGTTAACATCTCAGTTATAGAATGTTAACAGTTATGACAGTGCTAGAATGTTAACATCTCAGTTATGACAGTGCTTATCTCAGTTATGACAGTGCTAGAATGTTAACATATCAGTTATGACAGTGCTAGAATGTTAACATCTCAGTTATGACAGTGCTAGAATGTTAACATATCAGTTATGACAGTGCTAGAATGTTAACATCTCAGTTATGACAGTGCTAGAATGTTAACATCTCAGTTATGACAGTGCTAGAATGTTAACATCTCAGTTTAAATAGACAGTGGGAAACTAAAAAAAAAATATATTCTTATTGAATGTTAAGAGTAGTTATTAATAGCATTATCTCTTTGAGTCCCAGGGGGTTATGGTCAGTGCCAAGAGGTAGGAGAGACGTAAAATCGTGAATCTTGCGTTCATCTAGGCAGGAATTGTGAAGCATGACAGAATACATTTTAAAAAATATACATTTATAGCTTTCATATGAACTTTTCCCTCATGTAACTACAAATATCCTTAAAAGAAACCAGGAACACAACCCTAAACAGTTTAACTGTAGAAAAAAAAAGAGAGTAAGGAAAGAGAAGTAACAATATGAGAATAAAAATAATTTGTTAAATATATTGAAAAAAAAAAAGGAAGAAGAAGTTGATGGATGTGCAGAATGCATGTTTATCCTCAGTGCTGCTGCCTGAAAGGTTTGACACTCTGACATCTTAAGATTTGAACCAGACACCCCTTTCAACCCTCAAGCAAGTTAAAATGAGAGCACCCATAAATGCCACACTAGCCCAGTGTAACTTGCAGTCCTGTGTGGTTTGACACCTTGACATCTTAAGATTTGAACCAGACATCCCTTTCAACCCTCAAGCAAGTTATAATGAGAGCACCCATAAATGCCACACTAGCCCAGTGTAACTTGCAGTCCTGTGTGGGAAAGAATGTGAAACATAGAATAAAGAATAAGGATCAGTTAGAATACCATTAAATGATAGTATTATAATGGTAATAGAGAATGTACAAAGAAGAAACAGTAGATGAGGTATAGGGAAAAAAATATTTATTACTGGATAATCCCAGAAGAGGTAATTGTTAAAAGAAGGAAATTGAGTAGCAGTAATCATAGGTGCAACAGTTTTCTTGGTATAATGTTACAAGGAAACAACATGGAGGCATAAGGAGAGAGAGAGAGAGAGAGAGAGAGATTTTTAGAGCATTGAGGTGCTTTCCCTTGACAGGTAAATACCAGGCATTTTTGTAAATAGTGTCATAAACAGTAATAGGAAACCAGTGTCATTTCTGGGCTACATGTGTGACCTTGGTGTCATCTAGACCACTGTAGAATGTTTGCCTGCAGACTGTTATGTGACCTACTTCATGTGCCTACATGGTGCAGAGGGCATACGATCACTATAAAATAGAAAGTAAGAGTAAAACAAGGTCTTTTTTATGCCAATAGTGCATTGGACATATATTGCTACGTCCTAGGGCTCTTTCTTCTTGTGGTACCCAACAGGTATGTAGTACCGGCACCTTTATTTATGGCGAGCACTGGCACGTTTTTTTTAGACATGCTTGTATCTAGAAAAAAAGCCCCTCTAGGTCAACGGTTCTCAAACTTTTAAAACCGCGGCACCCTTGTCGGGGAAAACCAATTTAACGGCACATCTGCCCTTAAAGTATTTTGAATACTTTGGAAAAAGAAGAAGCAGTGCATATTTAATGTTCAGTTGTTTTAATGTGATGAACGAAACTGTCCGATGAGTTTTTCATTATTTCCTTTATGTATATGGGAAGTTTAGGTAATTTAACGCTCAAATCACTTGACCCAGAAAGTTTGCTCCTGAATCAGTAAAAAAAAAAAAAAAAGCCTATGTTAAGAATGCACTGCAGCCTTGCGACTAGCATTGTCTCCTGAATACACTTGCATCCAGAACTCTTCCTTTACAGTGTTTCTGTTCTGAACTCCTGTCTTCGCTGATATCAAGCAGATTTTGAAAAATTCTTGATTATTGCCACTACACCCCTGGCCTATGCTCGCGGCACCCAGTTTGAGAAGCCCTGGTGTAGGTTAAATCAGACTGGTGCCGCCATTAAAGGTGCCCTAAAATGAACTTTTTTGAAGTTTGGATGAGGTCATATATTGCAACCACTGAAGAGATCTGTGGAGAGAGAGAGAGAGAGGAAGACAATGCAAGAAGATTCTAGACAGCATTTTGTCAGGGCATAGAGGGGTGTCAACAAACAACTGATTTACACAGGTGCCGATTGCAGATTCTAGGGAGACATGACTGTCCATGACAGTTGGCAAGGCACTTGATGGTGATTATGATGACCTGGGATCTGATTGGTTGGCTTTTTCTTGATCACTGGGATCTGATTTGTTGGCTTCTTCTTGATCAGTGGTATTTAAAACATTGAAAACTTTAATGAAATCATTGAAGTTCTTCTTCTTCTTCTTCTTTGTATTCACCGGCTGTAAACTCTGGCAAAAAGTTCTGGTTGTTTGTCCACCTCTGGATTTTGGTCTTGTTCCAGAACCTGAGTGTTGCATGCACATCCATCTAACAGATCTGACTTCACTGTATGTCTTTGACCATTTCCTTCAGTATAGTTTTTATCTGTCATGTCATTTAATGACTCATCTCTTTTTTTTTTTTTTTTAAGGTTAACGGTAATTATAATGTCTGGTTCTCAATCTGCATTGCGGAAGGTTAAAAATAGACAGATGTGGCATGTGTGGATATCAGACTGCAGCATATCAGCATCATAGGCGCTCATGCGGATCTGCTGTCCGGGACATTCAGGAGCATCAGGGAATGTTTGATCTGATTTTTTTGTGTTTTAGCTACAAAAGTGATAGGTACAGGAACACTTGTAGTGAGCAAAGAAAACATTCTGAAGATCATTGATGACTGAATATGCTGATAGAAGAAGAAATGAGGCATGAAGATGGATGAAATAATCTGCAAAAGAATGTTAACATGGAATTAGGAGTGGCTCTGATAAGGACGGTCGTATGAGAGGAAGACAACGTACAGTTTGTGTACAGTTTGCATTTACACCTTAAGACATTTGCTGCATGAAATGAAGCATGTGTGGTTATGCTAGATGTGATTTACATCACTTCTTAAATCAGTAATCAGTATTCATAACCTTTGTCAGCTATTTTTCTTATTTGCAGACTCTTTCATCAGCCTCTTTTAAAACATTTAGATTCTACATGTACTAAAAAAAAATATGTTTCAGCTTGGTATATGTTGTCTAAATTTTGTTTGTATGAAGCAGTAAACCACACATTCATTTATTGCTATACAGACGTAGGTTTGAAAAAAGATCTATCTGCACTAACAGATCATTTTTTTAAAAAAGCAAATTCTTTCTGGATCAGGGATGTGTTTCTAGTAAAAAAAATATGCCGGTGTTCACCACAGTGTCTTAAAAAAGGTACTGTTATTCATCCCAAAATGTCTTTTATGGTAGTGTGTTGAACAAAATAGTGCCTACAAAAGGTTGTATGCTAACAGAAAAAAAAAATCCCTGCATTTGACATTACTTAATCATCTTTCTGTTGCATCCATATGTAACTGTGGCCTCACTAGCCGTGTATGTTAGTCTAGCGGTAAACTACTTATTCTATGTGTTCACCAGCCAAAAAACTCTGGCAGAAAGTTGAGGGTGTTTATCCACCTCTGAACATTGGTCTTGTTCTAGATTCTAACTGTTGCATGCACAATGATTGTATGGATCTGACCTCTTTGAAGGTAGACTGTTGGTTTCTTGCCTCACAGGTAGATGCACTCCACCTTCTAAGGAAGCCCACAGTTAGTATACTCTTACAACAAGCTTTTTGCTGAGGCAGGGGGTCTGTTCTTGTGTTCCCCACAATGGGATCCCAGAACCCACGCAGGTTTAACTGTAAACTAAATAAACAGTTATATTAACATAACAGTTGTCTGGCTAACCATATAAAACATATTGTAGCATGTGTTTTGCATATTTGGCCACATGTCAGTCTGACCCAGGCCTTGCCGTCTGTTACAGATCTGCCTACCTGAAACAAGAGTATGAGAGACGACTGAGAAATGTAAGTCCATTTTCATATTGTCTCTTGGTTTCTCTAAACATGTCAACTTCTTAAAAACTTATTTTATGAATGAACCAATGAATGAATATGTGAGTGAATGAATGCCCAACAATGTATTTTTTATACTCAGAAAATTCACCCTAAAACCTATTGTTTTAATAAAGTGTCTGTAAAGAATGATGAGTAGCATAATGTGAATACCATAATTGTCTAAAAGATATAATTATATCATCTGTACAGTTTAAGTAAAGCAACAAAAAGTAAAGGACCCTTTTCCAGGCCTTTAAGCGTATAGGGCATATAGGGCTAGACCTATATTTTAAAGACCAATCGGCACAAGATGGTTAATGTGGTTAGCATCATGCCGGCCACCTTTACTTCCCGGGACTGCACCCGGTACCCACTCAAGCCTGGGAGACAAGGTCATTTCTGAAAATAGTCTGGCTCCGCCAGGGAGCGAACCCACAACCTTCCGATCCGCGGCTAGCGTCCAGCTCTGAACAGTATGCCCGAGCAGAAATCTAAGTTAGATGGATGTAAACATTCATTATCTGAAGAGGCAGCATTAGACTATATATTCTATTTATAGAAAAACTTGAAGGGTTGAACTGGGTTTTACTGATACAGATACTGTACAATAAGTAAAGGATGCTTCTCTTGCCTGTGGTGCACTGGGCATATAGGGCTGTACCAATGTTCTCTTCATAGATGAGTTGATGCTGAATAGGTGATGTAGTTAACATCACACCACCTGCTTTTACTTCCAATACATTACCGTGTACTTATTTTAATCCAGGTTAACCTGTGTAGGGGGGAAATCTGTGCTAATTTGAACCCTGGACATTCAGGGTGATAGGGGGAGCATCTAGCTATAACAACTGCAATATAGAGAGTCAAAGAAAGAATGACAGAAAGAGAGAGAGAGAGAGAGAGAGAGAGAGAGAGAGAGAGAGAGAGAGAGAGAGAGAGAGAGAGAGAGAGAGAGAGAGAGAGAGAGAGAGAATAAATGAGAGAAAGCTAGATATTTAACTGAAGTGTCTTAAAAATGTCAGCAAGCTGTCCTGAAATGTTGATTACTTGATTGTCAACTCACCAGAGCCTCCAGCCACATAACTTTAGTTATTAACAGATTATGTGTAAATCCCCTGAACTACATTCTTGAGATTGCTCTTGGTTTTGAATTACAAGATTAGGTTTTATATTAGTGAGCAATTTGTTAAAAGAGTGAATTACTTAGGCCAAACTGGCAAATAGTTAAAAATGACCTAGATATTTTTAGAATTACCAAACTGATGAGTGTAAACATATTATTATATAATAAGCAGTTAACATCATGGTACTGGCTGAGTGGTTAGAACACTGAGTGTTCATTCATGAGATCCAGGTTTAAATCCTTAGATTAAGATGATGGGATGTTTTCTGGCAGGGACAATAATTCCTGTCCAGCATATTTAGTTTTGACTGCACTGGCCAGGTAGTCGTAAATTCTCTAGGCCACAAATAACCACAGCCCTTCATCACCAGACCAGTGGTTTACTAAGGGCAGTAAAGAAATTTTAGTAGTTAATAAAGAAATGACTAACGGCTGAAAGGGGTTTCTAGGACCTCTCCACGAGTGATCTTAATCCGCATGGTGGCCCTTTGTGTCATCGAGGTTTATCGCTTTGTGTCACCAGGTGTTTATCGCTTGTGTCATGTCCTGGTGGCACCTACCTACCTACCTATTAAAACACACACACACACACACACATATGCACACTCACAAACACACAAAAACACTTTTTGTTTAGTAAACAGTGTTTAAAAATAATTTTACTTCTAATTAAACTAAAGAAAACATTTTTTTTTAAATATAATGATTATTACAAGTACAAATGTAATCATTTTCAAAATGATTTGATGGCCCTCTTGGAAATTTCTTATCCTCGCCCTAAGAGGGCACACCCACTAGGATGGAGACCACATGTGTAAATTGTAGTCATCCTAGCTACATCCTAGCTACATCCTAGCTACATCCTAGCGACATCCTAGCTACATCCTAGCTACATCCTAGCTACATCCTAGCTACATCCTAGCTACATCCTAGCTACATGCTGGTTGTAAACATGTTGTACTAATTTCCACATGCAGCCCTTCCAGAGAGAAACCGAAAATTAACACTACACAGACAAAATTCTCAAATGCATGCAGACATTAAATATCAACAGTCTAATCTATTGAAATAAATGTTTATACAATCATTAAAACTTAATATCCCTCGACCACGAAATAAAAAGATTAGGTTTGGCAGCAAAAATGAGCAGATTAATGAAATTTTTGGGAGAACCCAAAAAAAAAAAAAATCATGATTCAAACAAAAACCTTTGTCTTTGAGGCATTGATCTCAACCCTCTTCTCTATGGTAACAACAGTTGCTTTTAGGCATATTACTTGTACAAAAAGAAATTGCTAAATAATCTTTGCCTGTTATGCATGTGAAGAATACCTGGCATTCAGTGGCAAGACACCAAGAAGGAAAGATCACTGTTCAAAGTATCCGATGGCTAGGATACACTTGGAGGATGCGGGATATCAGACATCCTAAGGACATCCTTTGTGGTTAATTACAGATGGATAAAAGATGACAACTGGAAATATCAGTGGGAAAAAGGAGTAGAGGCAGACCAAGAGAGATGATGCTAGATGGGCTAAAATGATGGCATGGAGGGATATCATTGAGAGAGCTGTTCCAGTCAAGCTTGAGAAGCATGAGCACATACGCCAGTTGGCAGGGCACATGATGATGATGATGATGAGTACAATTTAAACTTGCAGGACATGAATGATACAGGTACTCAGATGGTTTCATAGGAAAAAAAAATAAAGATGAAGAAATAAAATAAGGATAAAGCAGGAAGTGATTGCAGACAGAATAAGAGCTGCATGTTTCAGATGCTGTACATCATCATATTCATCATCGTCCTGTCATGAGTTGCTGTCTGATCTGATTAGCTTCCTTCACCTTTGACATTATGGAGGCTGCATGGTCTCGAGGCATGGCGTCCGCCATGCAATGGACCTCATGGTTGCGTGCCTAAGGCTTAGCCAATCAATCCTATTCTGTATCCAGGTCTTTCTTGGTCTGCCTCTTGTCCTCCTCCCCTCTACTGAACCCTGTAGTATTGTTTTGAGAAGCCGTTAGATCTTATTTCATGTCTATACCGTTGCATTTAGATCTTATTTCATGTCTGTACCATTGCATTTAGATCTTATTTCATGTCTGTACCATTGCATTTAGATCTTATTTCATGTCTGTACCATTGCATTTAGATCTTATTTCATGTCTGTACCATTGCATTTAGATCCTATTTCATGTCTGTACCATTGCATTTAGATCTTATTTCATGTCTGTACCATTGCATTTTCTGCTTTTTCACTGTAGTTAAAAGAGGATCATGTTTGCCAGTGTGGTGGTTAATCATATGGTGAACTTTGTCATCTTTATCAACATGCACCATGTTGACTGATAGAAGATGTACGGAAACTGCAATTTTAACAATGACCATGAAAACTAAAACACTGATTGTGGAAGAATTTTCAGACTGCAGACTGGTCTGTCTAGTCACATATACCGTTGATGTGAACTCTGTGCTTCCCTTTAACACAGCGGTTCGTCAACCTGTGAGTCCTAGCCCTTTTTTGGGTTTGAATGACCCTTTCACAGGGGTTGCCAAAGACCATCGCAAAACACATATTTATTGAAGTTATGAAAAAGCAACAAAAATAATTGAACTGTTGGGGGTCACCACAACACGAAGAGCTGTATTAACTCTTTGAATCCCAAGGAATGCATCATATGTTCATAGGTTACTGCCTAGAAGCCCAATGAACGCATGATGCGCCGATTTTTCTTCTCTTTTGACTACCAATCTGGCCTGTGATGCTAAACCCCCTGGGACTCAAAGAGTTAAAGGGTCGGGGCATTAGCAAGGTTGAGAACTACTGGTGTAACACCTTGTGTAATCATTAAAGAAGGAATAGTGCTAAAAGACCCATGCCATCAACTACTTTAGAAAAATATTTATTTAATCCTGAGTTTATTCAGTCACCCGTCTCTTGACTGGATCATGTTGCATGCACAGATATGCCTGGTTGGCCCAGATTATCCTGGCATACATATTTTATGACACCTGTGTGTTACTGGGGCTTTGAAGAAATGTAAAGAATTGTAACACTGTAACCTGCCAGGCATGTTTAAGAGGGGACTGAGGCGAATCAAGGGGAGGTGGTGCAGGGACTGCCAATCCCAGTCCAAAGAACACTTTAAGATTACATCCAACCAACCATAAATGTATCAGCAAAAGGCTTAGTGTGAGTTGAAGAGTGATTATGTCCCATTGTAAGTTGAAAGCTAGCAGAAAGAAAATGGAGAAGAAAAAAGAGAATGAAAAAAGGGGGGAGTTACAGCAGCAACAGTAGAAGCAATCTTCTTCTTCTTCATCTTCTTTACTTCTTCTTCTTCACTTTCCTTTTTACCACTTTAGGTGTTGAGGGAGATATCAGGTTCAACTTCTTTCTCTTCTTGCCACCTCGATCGTAGACACATCATACTATTATAGACTTTCTCTGATGTTATCTTTCCATGTTATTCTTGGTCTACCTCGTGTTCTACATTCTTCTCCTTTATTTGAGTGTATGCCTTGTATGTTATGCCATCACAAGACATTCTATCTGAGTCGGCAAACCATTTGATAGTCTATCCTTTGTATGTAATTTAGAATTACTTTTGTGCTTTCTTTTTCTCTTGTGACCTTATTCCTGGTTGTATCTCTTCCTGTCATTCCTATAGCCATTCTCAGACATCTCATTTCTTTGCTCGCAAATTTTCTTTTCTAGTTTTGTTTTGTTTTGTAGTGACCCTGAATGGAACTGGTAGCATAGAGTGAGAATGCATTTGCTTTGTATGTTTCTTTATGCTGATCTTGATCTTATACTGTCATAAGTAATTATAGTCTATTACA